ATTGGATTGTCGTTTTACTGGTGAGCAGGACGAGTTAAGCAGGTGGTACAAATTTTCATTCTAAACATGAGTCACTAAGTTCAGATGAGTTAGGTGTCCCCAGCTAACAGAGTTTGGATGAAACCTGAAACAGATGGGAATCTTTATTCTGAATCAACTGAGAGACGGATATACAAGATAGAACCTTTATAAATGGGTTTAAAATAAAGTGAACAATGTGCCGCCTGCACAGCAACAAAAAGATTCAATTAGACCTACAACAAAATGCATGAACATTGAAATAATGACTGAAGGGACGCTTAAATATAATAAAGGAAACTAGATGATAAAGATGATTTTTCATAATCAGGTTCTTGTTTTGTTGCCAGAAACATGCTCTGCTAAAACCTGTTCCTTCAGCTCAAATTGAATGTAGAAAATCTGGAAAATTTGCCAGCCAGCATTACAGTGTGGCATAATCATTACAGATGACAGCTTCTTTAAACTCTTTAGCGTTGACAGTGGTTCCCTCTCCTCTGTCTGATATGTAGGCACACCTGTTTACCCAGCAGGCAAGGATAATGTTGGGAGTCAGCTTTAGTTTGCTTTGCCTGCGAGATAGTGACACTTTTTTATGGTAGTGTACTGTGTGGAGGCTGAGGCTTTTTATTTATCTGCTAATATTCATGAGAAAATAACCATCAAAAAATAATTATTAGTACTTTACAGGATTTATATACAGGTGAAATTCGAAAAATTAGAATATCGTGCAAAAGTTCATTTATTTCAGTAATGCAACTTAAAAGGTGAAACTAATATATGAGATAGACTCATTACATGCAAAGCAAGATAGTTCAAGCCGTGATTTGTCATAATTGTGATGATTATGGCTTACAGCTCATGAAAACCCCAAATCCACAATCTTAGAAAATTAGAATATTACATGCAATCAATAAAACAAGGATTGTACATAGAACAATATCAGACCTCTGAAAAGTATAATCATGCATATGTACTCAGTACTTGGTTTGGGCCCCTTTTGCAGCAATTACTGCCTCAATGCGGCATGGCATGGAAGCTATCAGCCTGCGGCACTGCTGAGGTGTTATGGAAGACCAGGATGCTTCAATAGCGCATTCAGCTCTTCTGCATTGTTCGGTCTCATGTCTCTCATCTTTCTCTTGGCAATGCCCCATAGATTCTCTATGGGGTTCAGGTCAGGCGAGTTTGCTGGCCAATCAAGCACAGTAATCCCATGGTCATTGAACCAGGTTTTGGTGCTTTTGGCAGTGTGGGCAGGTGCCAAGTCCTGCTGGAAAGTGAAGTCAGCATCCCCATAAAGCTCACCTGTGGAAGGAAGCATGAAGTGCTCCAAAATCTCCTTGTAGACGGTTGCGTTGACCCTGGACTTAATGAAGCACAGTGGACCAACACCAGCAGATGACATGGCTCCCCAAATCAACACAGACTGTGGAAACTTCACACTGGACTTCAAGCATCTTGCAGTGTGTGCCTCTCCATTCTTCCTCCATACTCTGGGTCCTTGGTTTCCAAATGAGATGCAAAAGTTGCTCTCATCAGAATAGAGGACATTGGACCACTGAGCAACAGACCAGGTCTGTTTTTCTTTAGCTCAGGTAAGACGCTTCTGACGTTGTTTGTTGTTCAGGAGCAGCTTGCCAAGAGGAATACGACATTTGAAGCCCATGTCCAGGATTTGTCTGTGTGTGGTGGCTCTTGATGCACTGACTCCAGCCTCAGTCCACTCCTTGTGAAAGTCCCCAACACTTTTGAATGGCCTTTTCCTGACAATCCTCTCCAGGGCTGCGGTCATCCCTGCTGCTTGTGCACCTTCTTCCACACTTTTCCCTTCCACATAACTTTCTATTAATGTGCTTTGATACAGCACTTCGGGAACATCCAACTTCTTTTGCAATTACCTTTTAAGGCTTTCCCTCCTTATGAAAGGTGTCAATGATGGTTTTCTGCACAACTGTCAGGTCAGCAGTCTTTCCCATGATTTTGATTCCTACTGAACCAGACTGAAAGACCATTTAAAGGCTCAGGAACCCTTTGCAGGTGTTATGGCTTAACCTCCTTGGCGGTATGATTCTTTCCGATTTTTTGTGCTGAAAGCGGTACCATTTTTTTGCATGGAAATATGTAGTTTTTTATTGTAGGCTGTAATTTTTAGGAATAACTCACTGAAATCTATCCGAAAAAGAGTCTATTAAACATTCCGGATATGATAAAACTTGAAACACAAAATCATAAATTATAATTTAATAAATAATCATAAAAAATAATAATAATATAATAATAATAAATTTAATTTAATAATATAATCAAACCAAAAACACTGAAATTTGAAATACAGAGGCAAATTCGCACATCGCTGAGCAAAGTTGCAAAATCGTTTTCAGTGTCTGATGACGAATTTCCCCACAAATCATTATCACTCAATTCTGCAAGTGGTTCTGATTTACTATCGCTGTTCTAAAACCGCTTTTGACGTAAAGGGATGCTTTTTGGCCGCCATGGACTTTTCTAAGTTTTCAGGCAGAAAGAACAGTCAAAATGCAGGCAGGGCACAGGACAAAGCAGTGGGGACAAAATGTATGTGAAATGCAGTGAAAAAGCAATGACAGCAAAAATGTCATTTTTTAAAAATTTCAAATTTCCCGCCGGTTCCGCCGCCGCCCGAACGTTCCGACGTCACAGGGACCGGAACACGGAAGCCAGATGTCGGCATCCGCCGGAGGAGATGGACGGGGACGCTGCAGGGGACCCATCGTGGGAGCGAAGGACAAGGTAAGTGCTGCAGGGACCCCCAGAGAACGCTGCATGGTAAGCCCTAGTGTAGCTCGGGGTTACCGTTCTTGGTATAGAAATTCTACCCCGAGCTACACTCGGGAATACCGCCAAGGAGTTTAATTAGCTGATTAGAGTGGGACACTTTGAGACGAGAATATTGCACCTTTTCACAATATTCTAATTTTCTGAGATTGTGGATTTGGGGTTTTCTTGAGCTGTAAGCCATAATCATCACAATTATGATATATCATGGCTTGAACTATCTTGCTTTGCCTATAATGAGTATATCTCACATATTAGTTTCATCTTTTTAGTTGCATTACTGAAATAAATGAACTTTTGCACGATATTCTAATTTTTTTAATTTCACCTGTAGCTCCAACAATTGCTTTACAATATAAAGGGAGACAGTACAGTTGCAATATGATTCGAGACAAGAAGGTTAAGGGGGTCCTGCTTGTGGGAGCTTACAATTAGAGAGGCAAGTTATACAAAATAATATAACTATGTGGAGATGTGTTGATAGAGAAAATTGTTGATGTAAAGGCAGGATAGGATTACCCAAAGAGATGAGTTTTAGGCCCAGTTCACACTTGTGCATTATAGGCTTCTTTCACACAGGTCGGAACCATTTTTCTCATCAGGGGATCTGTCCGCTGATCCCATGCTGAGCTGAGCTGAACAGGCAGTTGATATCCGCTCCACTTATGCTCTATGTACAGTCACATGTAAGCAGATGAGCTGTCCATTTACATCTAACTGCCCTCCGATCCAATCCAACCAGTGGAACTGATCCCATTCCATTTGTTTTTAATGGATCATATTGGAGGTAAGTTGGTGTAAATGGACACAAGTCCATTTACATCCACCACTCCATTGAGGAGAATCAAGGGTCTGATCGGGTCCGCCTGAAAAAAAAAACAGACGGACCTGGTTGGACCATTGCTGTGATAGGGTCCTTATGTGTTAAAAAAGGCCCTGCATGCTACATCTTTGATGCACTTTTATAAAAATGCATGTTCATAAGTAAAACCCCTAAAATGTCTGTAAAATGTGCCTAAAACGCAACGCACCAAAAACCCCACTGCACAGATGTGAACTGGCCTTTATTTGGATATAATGGTAGCAAAAGACAATGATCATTGTTAAATCCACAATTTTTTATTTTTTTTTACAGCTACTAGCTGTAAGTGTAAAATTAGGTGGAGGGGGATTATGGTGTGGGGTTGTTTTTCAGGGGTTGGGCTTGGCCCCCCAGTTCCAGTGAAGGGAACTCTTAAGGCATCAGCATACCAAGACATTTTGGACAACTTCATGCTCCCAACTTTGTGGGAACAGTTTGGGGATAGCCCCTTCCTGTTCCAACATGACTGCACACCAGTGCACAAAGCAAGGTCCATAAAGACATGGATGAGTGAGTTTGGGGTGGAGAAACTTGACTGGCCTGCACAGAGTCCGGACCTCAACCTGATAGAACACCTTTGGGATGAATTAGAGCGGAGACTGCAAGCCACGCCTTCTTGTCCGACATCAGTTCCTGACCTCACAAAGGCGCTTCTGGAAGAATGGTCAAACATTCCCATAGACACTCCTAAACCTTGTGGACAGCTTTCCCAGAAGAGTTGAAGCTGTTATAGCTGCAATGGGTGGGCCAACTCAATATTGAACCCTACGGACTAAGACTGAGATGTCATTAAAGTTCATATGCGTGCAAAGGCAGGCGTCCCAATCAGGGGCGGACTGACAACTCATGGGGCCCCCGGGCAATAGGGGATCATGGGGCCGCTGTGTCCTTGCCCAAACTCAAAAAAGCCTATGAAAAAGGTACCAGGGGCATCTCATGGGGCCCCCTACTGACCCCGGGCCCTCAGGCAGTGGCCGAGTTTCCAAATGGTCAGTCCGCCCTGGTCCCAATACTTTTGGCAATATAGTGTATATAGTATATATCTAAAAAAAAGGTATTTAGTATTTAGATCTTACACCTGTAAAGTATTTTTTCCTTTTCATCAGACTTTTTATTCTTAAAATTTAGATGATTACTGGCATGGTGGGACATCCTTTGTGCTTTGTCACCTTTAGAGATGAGCGAAGTATTCAAAAATTCGATTCGACTGATTCGGCGAATTCGTGGAAAAATTTCGATTCGAGTCAATATATTCGCTGCGAATTTAACTTATAAAAGGGTGTTTCTAGGCTTCAGAGAGCCTTTATATTAGTGCAGAACACTGTACCTTTAATTTAAATGCCCTTGGAGTCTGCTGGGGAAGAGAAATAATACTGACAGTCAGTATGACATGCAGATGAGTGCCGTCGATCTTAGAATCACCGCACACTTCACTCATTTGGGCAGTCACGGGGCCAAAACCAGAGTGTGGAGCCACAGTGTGGCGGTGGAGGCAGCAGCAATGGGAGGCCATACAGCACCCTATGACAAAAATGGAAACCACCAGCAGTGTGAGGAGACCTGAAAGTGGCACATGGCAGAGTGTGGCGATGGAGACAGCAGCAATGGGAGGCCGTACAGGGACCCATGACACACTCTGGACCTGGCAGCAGCATGAGGAGGCGGTACAGGGGCCCATGACAGATTACGGGCCTGGCAGCAGCATGAGGAGTCGGTACGGGGGCCCTTGGCAGATTAGGGGCCTGGCAGCAGCTATGGGAGGCTCGTAATCTGCCAGCACCCTATGACAAAAAATGGAACACACCAGCAGTGTGAGGAGACCTGAAAGTGGCACATGGCAGAGTGTGGCGATGGAGACAGCAGCAATGGGAGGCCGTACAGGGACCCATGAGAGAATCTGGACTTGGCAGCAGCATGAGGAGGCGGTATAGGGGCCCATGGCAGATTAGGGGCCTGGCAGCAGCTATGGGAGGCCCGTAATCTGCCAGCACCCTATGACAAAAAATGGAACACACCAGCAGTGTGAGGAGACCTGAAAGTGGCACATGTTTGGGGCATGATTCATGGCGGATTTAGTCAGTTGTGTCAGGAACTGGTGGTTTGAAATCCAGACTAATCCACGCCTGATTCATTTTCACAAACGTGAGTCTCTCCACACTTTGGGTGGACAGTCGTGTCCTCCGCGGAGTTGCAATACCTCCTGCCGCACTAAACACGCGCTCCGATGCCACGCTACTGGCCGGGCATGACAGCCTTTCAAGGGCAAATTCAGCTAGTTGGGGCCAAAGGTCAAGTTTCATTGCCCAGTAGTCAAGGGGATTGTCTACCTCGGTTGGCAGGGTGCTGTCCAAGTAGGCCTAAGCCTGTTGTTTGAGGTCCTGCTCCAGGTCCACCTGATGCTGCTGCTGCTGCTGCTGCGGCTGGTTAGTAGTTTCCTCACTGCGCTGGTGAAGAAAGCTACTCATCATCGACTTCAGACTGAGGCAGCTGCTGCTGGTGGAGCTGCCACTGCTCCTACCACCCCACCCCTCCCCTGCTGCCATGGCAGCGGAACGCGAGCGCACAGGGCCCACAGTGTCTGAGGATGGACGTTGGCACAGACAGGCAGAGACCAGCTGACTACATAGGTGGTTTTTATAGTACGTTATTTTGGCCTCCCTCTCAGCAGGTGTGAAAAAGGCCACCATTTTTGAACGGTAGCGAGGGTCCAACAAGGTGGACAGCCAAAAGTCATCCCTCTGTCTGATGGTTATTATTCGGCTGTCGGTACGCAAGCAAGCGAGCATGCTATGGGCCATTTGTGCCAAGGAATGCGAGGGACTCCCTGCCTCCATCTCCACAGCATACTGCCACGGTGCGTCTGGGTCCTCTGTCTCCTCTTCCTCCTCCTCTACCAGATGCTCCTGCTCCTCCACTCCTGTCCGCTGAGTGGAAAAACCACCCATTTCACTCAATAATTCCTGAGCACCAATGTCCTCCTCTACCTCCTCCTCTTCTTCCTGTCCTGCCCCCACAGGGGTCATGTGGCGTTGAGATCTGTGCGCCACGTCTACCGCACCCTGACCAGCCATTGTTAACAGCATTTGTTCCAGGACGTGCAACAGAGGAATGACGTCGTTCATCCCATAGTCCTGCCGACTCACGAATAGCGTGGCCTCCTCAAAGGGCCTGAGCAAGCGCAGGTGTCACGCATGAGCTGCCAATGGCTGACATCTAAGTTACACAGGGAGTACCTTTATCCGCTTGTAACATCAGGAAATCGGTGATGGCCTTTCGCTGTTCGTAAAGGCGGTCTAACATATGTAGGGTTGAATTCCACCTTGTTGCAACGTCACAGCATGAGGAGTCGGTACAGGGGCCCATGGCAGATTACGGGCCTGGCAGCAGCAATGGGAGGCCCGTAATCTGCCAGCACCCTATGACAAAAAATGGAACACACCAGCAGTGTGAGGAGATCTGAAAGTGGCACATGGCAGAGTGTGGCGATGGAGACAGCAGCAATGGGAGGCCGTACAGGGACCCATGACACACTCTGGACCTGGCAGCAGCATGAAGAGGCGGTACAGGGGCCCATGGCAGATTACGGCCTGGCTGGCAGCAGCAATGGGAGGCCCGTAATCTGCCAGCACCCTATGACAAAAAATGGAACACACCATCAGTGTGTGAGGAGACCTGAAAGTGGCACATGGCAGAGTGTGGCGATGGAGACAGCAGCAATGGGAGGCCGTACAGGGACCCATGACAGACTCTGGACTTGGCAGCAGCATGAGGAGGCGGTATAGGGGCCCATGGCAGATTAGGGGCCTGGCAGCAGCTATGGGAGGCCCGTAATCTGCCAGCACCCTATGTCAAAAAATTGAACACACCAGCAGTGTGAGGAGACCTGAAAGTGGCACATGGCATGAGACACTGTGGACCTGGCAGCAGCATGAGGAGGCGGTACAGGGGCCCATGGCAGATTAGGGGCCTGGCAGCAGCTATGGGAGGCCCGTAATCTGCCAGCACCCTATGTCAAAAAATTGAACACACCAGCAGTGTGAGGAGACCTGAAAGTGGCACATGGAAGAGTGTGGCGATGGAGAAAGCAGCAATGGGAGGCCGTACAGGGACCCATGAGAGACTCTGGACTTGGCAGCAGCATGAGGAGGCGGTATAGGGGCCCATGGCAGATTAGGGGCCTGGCAGAAGCTATAGGAGGCCCGTAATCTGCCAGCACCCTATGACAAAAAATGGAACACACCAGCAGTGTGAGGAGACCTGAAAGTGGCACATGACATGAGACACTGTGGACCTGGCAGCAGCATGAGGAGGCGGTACAGGGGCCCATGGCAGATTAGGGGCCTGGCAGCAGCTATGGGAGGCCCGTAATCTGCCAGCACCCTATGTCAAAAAATTGAACACACCAGCAGTGTGTGAGGAGACCTGAAAGTGGCACATGGCAGAGTGTGGCGATGGAGACAGCAGCAATGGGAGGCCGTACAGGGACCCATGACAGACTCTGGACTTGGCAGCAGCATGAGGAGGTGGTATAGGGGCCCATGGCAGATTAGGGGCCTGGCAGGAGCTATAGGAGGCCCGTAATCTGCCAGCACCCTATGACAAAAAATGGAACACACCAGCAGTGTGAGGAGACCTGAAAGTGGCACATGGAAGAGTGTGGCGATGGAGACAGCAGCAATGGGAGGCCGTACAGGGACCCATGAGAGACTCTGGACTTGGCAGCAGCATGAGGAGGCGGTATAGGGGCCCATGGCAGATTAGGGGCCTGGCAGCAGCTATGGGAGGCCCGTAATCTACCAGCACCCTATGTCAAAAAATTGAACACACCAGCAGTGTGAGGAGACCTGAAAGTGGCACATGGCATGAGACACTGTGGACCTGGCAGCAGCATGAGGAGGTGGTACAGGGGCCCATGGCAGATTAGGGGCCTGGCAGCAGCTATAGGAGGCCCGTAATCTGCCAGCACCGTATGACAAAAAATGGAACACACCAGCAGTGTGAGGAGACCTGAAAGTGGCACATGGCATGAGACACTGTGGACCTGGCAGCAGCATGAGGAGGCGGGTACAGGGGCCCATGGCAGATTAGGGGCCTGACAGCAGC